TGCAAAATTGTTGAAATCGGTTTGGGCGTTCTGGATTTATTAAAGCCATACTTCAAATTTGACATGAGTTTGTCATTGTAATTAGCATTTAGGGCTTGAACATTTATTAGATAAATTAAGTAATTGCCGATTAATAAATTCTATAATATTCGTTCACAAAGTGGATTATGTTTAACAACGCCTAAACAAAATAATCTTTTCGCAACTTCACTCATTATGTTATTGTATTTGAAGAACTTCATGTAATTAAAATTAACATACATTCATTGACTGCTTGTATTTTTTTTAACCTTTTTGCTGGCGATATAATCTCATTCTTTGAACAGCTGTAATATAATATCTGTCTTGCCTAAAAATATTTTCCATTTTAATAACTTTAAAGATTTATAGAAACTACGAATAATATAGAAATAATTTCTAATCAATAAACTTACGTTCAGTTTTTCAAGGAACAGGGTAAAATATTCTTCTGATTCAGGCATTTTTCATTAAATCAAGATTTGTACTACTTTAAAATGTTTATATCTATGCCGATTTCCTTGTTTGTATCGGTACGCATACAACGTCGATGCCGGTACACATACAACCAAATACTCTTCTTTTATCTATGCATACAACGCTTATGCCGTTACGCATACAACGATAAATCTCTATTCACATATACCCGTATAGAAATGATATCTAATCATCGAGAGCGAATGACGAATCGTTGGCACTCGTCTCTTTATCTTATCGACTTTTATCTGCCGTAACGCACTTCCGTTGCATTTGTACGGATTTTCAAACGTAGTCACGTCTAAAGAAGTTTTACTTTAACAATGAATCTGAGTGTAACAAATGTTGTAAATTCACAAACGTGTCACTAATATTTAAGACATTATTATATTCATGTTACTAATTCCAATCATGCATCTGATTTTTATATTTTTTAACTTCCCGTAGGATAAGTTATTGCAATGGGCCGAAAATCGAAATTGAAAATGTTTACATTTCTCGACGTTTTGAAGGTTTCTGAACATTTTGGCATACCTCAGAAAAAATGAATGTGTGTGTGTATGTATGTATGTATGGATACAAATTTCCAGTCACGTTTTCGGGCGCACGGATCAACCGATTTGAATGATTCAAAAAACATTCGATTCCTATATTGATAGGGAGATGTGCTGATTAGTTTTTGGCAAAGGCAGGTCCAACAGTTACGAAGATAAAGAGCAAAGAGTACAGAAAATAGAAATCGAGTTTTTGAGAGAACGGAGCATCCGATTTGAATAATCTAAAAAACATTCAATTAGTAATGATTTGAAGAATTGTTTATTAGTTCTTGGCAAAGGCAGGCCCAGCCATTTTGAAGATACGGAGCTAAATGTGCAAAAAATGACAGTTTTTGAGAGAACTAAGCGTCCGATGTAAATGATTTAAAGAACTTTCTGCTTGTCTTAACAAAATAATTGATTTTGGAAAAAAAATTGTTCCAAATTTTTTTTTTAATTTTTTTTTTCAAGAAAAAACATTTCTTGTATATCGAAAATAGTTCAGATTTTATTTTTAATTCTGGCTATAGTTCTAATATACTTTAAACAAATAATTTCAACTTTGTAATTAAGTTATATAATTCTTATAAATATTAGACAATGTTACAATATTAATAATAATCTATTTGAAAACATTCAGTATTCCTCGAACATTTCATTATGGTACGGGAAGTTCCAGCAATTTGCTTTAAGGCACGATGCCATACACACCCTAGTTCTTTTCCATTTTCAAATATCCCGCGGTCTCAATCGATACCAACTTCATCGATAATATTGTCGTGCAAAATGGCTGCCAAGATGGCCGATTTGACATTTTGCAGCGAACTAATATTTATTCGAATATCAAACAAAATTGAATGTTTATTAAATTTATTATTTTATAAAGAAGTTTGCAGGTAATAATTAGGCAAAAGTGAAGTGTATATTAATATGACCACTGTTACTTCACCGTCCGTGGAATTAAGTTCGTACCGGGATCAACATTTTAAGGTAACAGATATATGTGTAATATAGGTTAGGTAGTTTATTTACTGCTGGAATAATTATTATTAAAGAGTTTACTGTTTAGGTATTACTGTTTTATTGAAAAAGTACCTCCTACATTGCATAATAGTTGTCTGCAGATAATTGTTATAATTAGTAGCCTCAGAACCAATATTTTCAGTAGATTTTTCCATACAAAACTGTGTTCAAATATTTCTGATGAATGAAGTGAAGATTACACATATATGTATATATAATAATAATTAGTACTGCTCTAAGGCTTGTTGAAAAAAATGTTGAATGTTTTTATATATGATTATAATTTAATTTAACGTTGACTTCTTCTTATTGAAATCACAACTTTTTGTTTCGTTAGAATTTAGAGATCTCTCAAAGCTCCTAAGCACCCTAGGGTAATTATTTTATTCATAATGTTTGTTAGTTATTTGCTTTCCAAACTAAAATTGTAGTGTAACAAAGTTTGCTGATGCTTCAACATTTATTGTATTGCACCAAGAAAATAAAAGGAAAAATATTTACATATTTTTTTATATTACATGTCAAAGACTGCTTATATTAAATGAAATCAAAACTATATATATTTTTAAAACGTTTCTCGATCATTGTATCAATTTAACACATACTTGCAATTAGACTAGGAGATACTTTTTTCATAAAATTGTAAATGTCCTGAAAATTTACAAAAAAATCCTATTAATATATGTTATCATAGTAGGCATATTGAAGTATAATGTATTAAAACTTCTATATTCTAAGACAAATACAAAAATTATTATAAGTTTCGAACACATTACTTGTTCATCGTCTCAGTTGAAATACATACTGTGGTGCTTTTTTTATATATCATAAAAATCTTCAAAATTTCTTTAAAAAAACTCATCGAGTAGTGTTTGTTATTAAAGTAGATCAGGGGTCGTTCAAGTATTACGTAAGCACTATAGGGGGGCGTGGGGGTTATTGATTTGCTTATTTTGCTAATTTTGTGTAAGAACTTTTGCTTACTTTTGCCGACAAAGGGGGGGGGGGTAAATAATTGTAATAAATCTGCTTACGTAATACTTGAACGATCCCTCATTAATGATTATAGATTCTTAAAGGAATGTACTTAACGTAGAATACATGCTCAGTATTGGAGGTACTCTTTTCATAAAATATTCCATCTTGAAAATTTCTAAGAAAACTCATCAATTTTAGTACTTATTATCAAAGTACACATATTCAAGTACAACATACAATTACAAAGGCTGCTATATAAAATAAATTTACATGTCTTTAATAAACTTTTATAATTTTATTCTCTCAGGGGTCTCGGAGTGAACAAGATCGTCTCTTAAGAACATCATCAACCCTCTACGTAGGCAATTTATCTTTTTACACAACTGAAGAGCAAATATTCGAACTGTTTTCAAAATGTGGAGACGTCCGAAGAGTTATTATGGGTTTAGATAAATATAAAAAGACACCTTGCGGTTTTTGCTTTGTTGAATATTATGCTCGGTGTGATGCTGAAAGTTGTATGAGGTAAGAATAAAAATATTTATCATATTATATAATATTAGTTAGTACATTCAAAAGTTGGAGCAAATTATGTTGTATGTCTCATTTAAAATATCACATTCACGTCTTTAAAATATTGGTCATCAATACTGTGAATTAGATTTAAGCCTTACTTGCAAAACAAGTTGTATGAAACAAATATAAAGATATGAAGTAAATAAATGTTTGCTTTTTGTTAAAAAGTTATAAACATATTCATTATTGGGATAGCTCAAAAAACTAGTTGGTTTGGTATTTAGCCTTGAGGCAAGTTACATGAACTTCCCGATATGTGTAAATAATCGACTTAATCAAAAAAAAAAAGTGTAAATAATATACTTCATCAATCCTACTTAAAAAAAACGATAATAATTTTAGCAAAGTTTGACGAATTTTTAAAATTAAACTACTTGTCGTAAGGCTGTAATATTACAGTAAGTTCTATAAGACCATGATGTATATCGCCAAAAAAGTTCCATGAAAATCGGCTTAATTTTTTTTTTCAACAGTTCAACACAAGAAAACGGCTCGGTGGATTTTCACCTAAAATTAATCAGTACCATTCCCAACTAATTTCTTTCGAACAGTTTTTGATTTTTTAAAATCGGTTCGGTAGGATGAGCTTATGTGATGTGTGAAAATTAGATCGAACTCTTTTTCAACAGTTAATTACAAGAAAACGGCTCGGTAGATTTTCACCTCTAATTCATTACACATTCTCAATAATATCTCTCGAACGTTTTTGATTTTTTAAAATCGGTTCGGTAGGATGAGCTTAAATGTGGACGAAAAGTTTAACACTTTTTTTTCAAATTGCAAAGAAACGGCTTGGCAGATCGTTGCACAAACTGACAAACAATAGTCCTCACCGAAATACATCAAATGGCTTTTAAATTTCTAAAATCGGTTCAGGCGTTTTTTGAGAAACGTCGATCAAAGTCTAATTTTGACAAATGCCAAAAAAACGATATCAATTTTTGCAACTTTGACGAATTTTTAAAGCTGAGCCAGTTGTCGTAGGGCAGAAATATTTTAGTATATGTAGAAGACTATGGTATCTACCGTCAAAAAAATAATCATAAAAATCGTCGAAATTTTTTTTTTTTTTAAATTTATTACAAGAAAACGGCCCGGCCGATTTCTACCAAAAACTAATCAGCACGATTCCCAACCAATATCTTTCGAACGGTTTTTGAATTTTCAAAATCGATTCAGAATTGCGGGCTAAAACGTAGACGAAAAATTTTTCATTTTTCTGCGATTTATAAAGAAACGGCTTGGCCGATCGTTGCACAAAATTGACAAACAATAGTCCTCATCGAGATACATCGAGTGGCTTTTAAATTTTTGAAATCGGTCCAGCCATTTTTGAGGAAACGTCGATTTACGGCAAAAAATCTGTTCACATACACGCACACACACACATACACACACACACACACACACATACTTTTTCCAAATTCGGTCTCATTCGATTCAGAATGGTTTGAAACGTCGAGAAAACATAAAATTAGCAATTCGGATTTTTTGATGAAAACATAAACTTCTCCTTCGGGAAGTTAATAAAAGGCTGCATGTACACTAGGGTGGTCTTTAACATGGAGATTTTCGAATTTTATTGCTTCTAGGGGCTTAAATGATTCCAAATTGATAAAAAAAAATCGTTAAAAGTTTTAGCTCTTAATATTAACTTTTAGATAGTGCGCAATTCAATAAAAGCTACGTATGGAAATAGCATAAAAAAAAATCGAAAATTTTTCCAGAGAATTCTTTTTATCAATTTGGAAGCATTTCCCCTGGGAGCAAGGAATTCGAAGATGTCCATATGAAGGACCACCCTAATGTACATGCAAGTGAAGTTATTTTGTAACTTGATAGAATGTCAATATTCTGGTTGTGTAAACATTATATGGAGAAAAAGATATAATAATTTTGGATCTTATAAGTGAAAAAAGTAATTAACAACAATGGAAATAATGGGACAATTCTGCCTCATAAAATAGCGTTGTCATGGCAACACTATCTAATGCTTGTTTCTTAGCAGTGAAAACTGTGAAAATATTTATCCAATTGCTGTGCGATTAGGCGTATTTTACATACAAACAATCAAGGAAGAACTGCTTCATCGAAGATTCTGTTATCATAACATTCTTCTTTGCTTGTTTATTTGTAAAATACGCCAGATCGCACAGCAAATAAATAGACGTTAAAACTCACAGTTTTTACTGCTAATAAACAAGCATAACACATAGCAGTTGCATTGGCAACGCTATTTTGTGAGGCAGAATTTCTCTATATGAATTTGTTTAATACAATGTTTTCAGATAGTGTATAACATTTTCAGACGATTTCCAATATTTTCAGACGACCGAAAATGTTTCTCATAAACTATGTATTTCTCATAACGTTGTACAAAAAGCATATAAATTTAAAATATAAAGCATGAACCTAAACATTTTAAGAACATAATATATGTATACTCTCTCAATAGTACTTGCATCATCAGTTTCTCGGTTTACTTTAAGGTGAATAGTGTGAATGTTGACTTTTATCATGCAATTTTAGAACATAAATTCCATTTTGATTAGGCCATCCTGGCCTTTTTGGTTAGCTGATTTAATTTGGTTTTCAGACGATGTACAACATTTACAGACAATGTAAAATATTTGTAGGTTATGTACAGTATTTTCAGGCAATCTACAATATTTTCAGACATTTGACAACATTTTTAGATCATTAATAACATTTTCGGACAACCTACAATTTGTAATGATTTAAGACAATGTACAACATTTTCAGGCAATGTACAATATTTTCCTTAAATCTATAATATTCTCATACAATTTACAGCATGTTTAGAAAACGTACAATATTTTAAGACGATTGCCACATTTTAGGGCAACTTCCAACATTTTAAGACGATTTCCAACATTATAAGAGGACTTACAACATTTTAAGACGACTTCCAACATTCTAAGATGACTTAGAACATTTTATGATGTTTCAAAACATTTTATGACGATTTAGAACATTTTATGACGATTTAGAAGATTTTATGACGGTTTAGAACATTTTAAAGCGACTTGCAACATTTTAAGGCGACTTGCTACATTTTAAGGCGACTTGCAACATTTTAAGGCGACTTGCAACATTTTAAGGCGACTTGCAACATTTTAAGGCGACTTGCAACATTTTAAGGCGACTTGCAACATTTTAAAGCGACTTTCAACATTTTAAGGCGACTTTCAACATTTTAAGGCGACTTGCAACATTTTAAGGCGACTTGCAACATTTTAAGGCGACTTGCTACATTTTAAGGCGGCTTGCAACATTTTAAGGCGGCTTGCAACATTTTAAGGCGGCTTGCAACATTTTAAGGCGACTTCCAACATTTTAAGGCGACTTCCAACATTTTAAGGCGACTTCCAACATTTTAAGGCGACTTGCACATTTTATGGCGACTTGCAATATTTTATGGCGACTTGCAATATTTTATGGCGACTTGCAATATTTTATGGCGACTTCCAACATTTTAAGGCGATTTCCAACATTTTAAGGCAACTTCTAATATTTTAAGGCGACTTCCAACATTCTAAGGCGACTTCCAACATTCTTAGACAACATCCAACATTTTAAGGCTTTGTAACATTTTAGGGCGATTTCTAACATTTTATGTTGGCTTGTAACATTTTATGGCGGCTTGTAACATTTTATGGCGGCTTGTAACATTTTCTGGCGACTTGTAACATTTAAAGATGTTTTGAAACATTTTCAGACGATTGCAACATTTTAAAACAACTTGCAACACGTTTAGTTCACTTGTAGCATTGTAGTTGATTTGCAACACTTCTAGACCTTAAGACGACTTCAACATGTTTAGACAATTTTCGACGATTTGAGATAATCTACATTTTCAGAAAATATACAATATTTTCATACGTCTTGGATCATTTTGAGATGTTTTGAAATATTTTCAGACGACTTGCAACATTTTTAGACGATTTGCAGCATTTTAAGTCGATTTTCAATACTTCTAGACCTTATGATGTCTTCAACATTTTTAGACAATTTACGACGATTTGAGAAAATATACAACATTTTCTGAAAATACACAATATTTTCATACGTCTTGCAATATTTTGACATGTCTTGAAATATTTTTAGACGACTTGCAACATTTTTAGATGACTTGCAGCACTTTTGGACTTTAATGAGGCTACAACATTTTTAGACAATTAACGACGATTTGGACAATCTACAACATTTTCGTGAAAATATACAATATTTTCATACGCCCTGCAACATTTTAAAACAACTTGAAACATTTTCAGACGACTTGCAATATATTTAGAGGACTTGCAACACTTTAAGACCATAAGACGACTCCAACATTTTTAGACTATTTATGACGATTTGAGACAGTCTACAGCATTTTTAAAATTTTTAGATGTCTTGGAATAATTTCAGGCGACTTGCAACATTCTACAACAACTGGCAACATTTTCAGACGACTTGCAACACTTTAAGACCTTAAGACGACTTCAACATTTTTGACAATTATCGACGATTTGAGACAATCTACAACATTTTCAGACAACATACGATATTTTCATACAATCTACAAGCTTTTCCTACCATCTACAACATTTTCATACAATTTCCGAAATTATCATGCTATGCACATGTCACTTGAAGTCGCATATTCGGTAAATCTACATTTTCATATTTAAACGGTTAGCATTATTTTATGATTACTGGCAATATATAAAGACGTTTTAAAAATATTAAACTACAACATTTTCATACAATCTACAGCGTGTTCACAAAATCTGCAACATTTTAAGGAGACTTGCAACGTTTTACAGACGTCTTGAAACGTTTTGAGATTACTTGCAAAATTTTAGACAATCAATAACGATTTAAGATATTCAGATAATGTATATTATTTTCATACAATCTTCGATATTTTTAAACTGTTTATAGCATGCTTCAAAATTCTACAACATTTTCAGATGACTTGCAACATTTTAAGACAATTTGCAGAAATTTAAGACGTCTTACAACATTTTAAGACAATTTGAGGAAATTTAGGACGTCTTGCAATATTCTAAAACGCTTTGCAACATTTTGAGACCTCTTGCAACACTTTAAGACGACTTGCAAAATTTTTAGACAATTCACTGCTATTTGAGAGACAATCTTCATATAGTCTAGAATATTTTCATACTACATACCTTTACCTGCAGCATGCTCAGAAAATCTACAACATTTTAAGACGAATTGCAAAATTTGAGACTTGCTAAATTTTGAGATGAGTTGCAATATTTTGAGACGACTTTCAATATTTTGAGACGACTTTCAATATTTTGAGATGACTTTCAATATTTTGAGACGACTTTCAATATTTTGAGACGACTTTCAATATTTTGAGACGACTTTCAATATTTTGAGACGAGTTTCAATATTTTGAGACGACTTTCAATATTTTGAGACGACTTTCAATATTTTGAGACGACTTTCAATATTTTGAGACGACTTTCAATATTTTGAGACGACTTTCAATATTTTGAGACGTCTTGTAATATTTTAAGACATCTTATATCATTTTTAGACAATGGGCAATATTTTCAGCATATTCAAAAAATCTACAACATTTTCAGGCGATTTGCAAAATTTTAAAACTACTCGCAACACATTTAGACGACTTGCATAACAATATATTTAGACGACTTGCAACGTTTTGAGACGACTTGCAACACATTTTGAGACGGCTTGCAACACAGTTTGAGACGGCTTGCAACACAGTTTGAGACGGCTTGCAACACAGTTTGAGACGGCTTGCAACGTTTTCAGACGACTTGCAATGTTTTGAGACGGCTTGCAACATTTTCAGACGTCTTGCAACGTTTTGAGACGACTTGCAACACAGTTTGAGACGGCTTGCAACATTATGAAACTACTTGCAATATTTTAAGACGGCTTGCAACATTTTCAGACGGCTTGCAACATTCTAAGACGACTTGGAACGTTCCAAGACGACTTGGAACATTTTCAGACGATTTGCAACATTTTTAGATATTTTGCAACAATTTAGAACGTCTTGCAATATTTTCAGACGACTTGCAACATTTTCAGACGACTTGCAACATTTTGAGACGACTTGGAACGTTCTAAGACGACTTGGAACGTTCTAAGACGACTTGGAACGTTCTAAGACGACTTGGAACGTTCTAAGACGACTTGGAACGTTCTAAGACGACTTGGAACGTTCTAAGACGACTTGGAACGTTCTAAGACGACTTGGAACGTTCTAAGACGACTTGGAACGTTCTAAGACGACTTGGAACGTTCTAAGACGACTTGGAACGTTCTAAGACGACTTGGAACGTTCTAAGACGACTTGGAACGTTCTAAGACGACTTGGAACGTTCTAAGACGACTTGGAACGTTCTAAGACGACTTGGAATGTTCTAAGACGACTTGGAACGTTCTAAGACGACTTGCAACATTTTTAGATAGTTTGCAACAATTTAGAATGTCTTGCAATATTTTCAGACGATTTGCAACATTTTAAGACGACTTTCAACATTTTAAGAAGGCTTTCAATAGTTTGAGACGGCTTTCAACAGTTTGAGGCATCTTGTAACATTTTTAGACAATGGACAATATTTTCAGCATATTCAAAAAATCTACAATATTTTCAGACAACTTACAACATTTTAAGACGGCTTGCATCACTTTAAGACGACACGAAACACTTTAAGACGACTCGAAACACTTTAAGACGACTCGAAACACTTTAAGACGACTCGAAACACTTTTAGACGACTTGCAATATTTTAAGACAACTTGCAACGTTTTTAGACGACTTGCAACGTTTTTAGACGACTTGCAACACTTTAAGACGACTTGCAAAGTTTTTAGACGACTAATAATTTTTTTTTTGACTATTCACAACGATTTGAGACGATCTACAATATGTTTATACAATCTACGATATTTTTACTTTACTATCTATAGCATATTCACAATCTACTTCATTGTCACACTACTTGCAACATTATAAGACGACTTGCAATATCATCAGACGACTTGCAACATTTATCTATTTGGTAGCTTAAATATTTAATGCAACTTTGTTTGAAGTCACATTAGAAGTTTTACTTTAATAATTAAATATATCTATGTATTTTATTAGAAACAAAATCTTTCATAAAATTACAGTGCTGCATAATTAGTTTATATTTGTTTTATTTAGATATGTTAATGGTACCAGACTAGACGGCAGAATTGTAAGAATCGATTGGGATGCTGGTTTCATTGAAGGAAGGCAATACGGACGTGGAAAAACTGGTGGACAGGTAAAACCATCTGTTATTTCACAATATCTTCTATTAATTTCAAAAAAAATATTATACTTTTTATTTTATTATATTATTTCTATTATTATTTTAGGTCAGAGATGAATACAGAATGGATTATGATGATGGTCGAGGTGGTTATGGTAAAATCCTTCAACAAAAAGGAGCCCCCAATACAATAGATCACCATCATAGATAAATTTAACACCAATAAATATAATTCTATTAATATTTTCATAAAAAACGAGGTATTTAGGACGAAATATTTTGTTTAGGAGTAAATGAGGAAAAAGTATCAGTTATACACTAATTATGAAGTGAAAACTTTGTGTATGTAATTATTTATTTTAATACAATTTTTTATTGTAATGTTTTGTATTTTGGCACTAGTATAGTAATGACATTTTTAATATTTTATGACAAACTATTAGTCCAGTCAATATATTAAGTTCACCTCGGGATTCGAGATACCCAGCTGTAAGTCTGTAAATACTTGTATATTGACTCCCTAACGTTGTCTCAAAACCTAAATATGGTATTGACACCATACCATGAAATATAATCTGATTTTTGTATCCCTTGATTTAACCAAGAGATATAATCTCAAACTGCTTTTCAAATCATTATAATTATGGTATTGACATCCTACCATATGTAGGTTTTGAGACAACTTTAGGGTCTCAATATATAAGTATTTACAGACTTACAGTTGGGTATCTCGAATTGCGAGATTCTTACCTAATTTAAGCTTAAATGACTGGACTATATTTCAAAGAATTTAATTATTTAATTTTTTTTACTTGGAAGTGTTGCATTTTAATATCATCAAAAGAATTATGATTATTTAATATAATAACACTATAATAATTAAAAATTAATGAATGAATAAAAATCCAATATACACTATAATCAATGTCCATGAAAGCACATATATGTATATTAAAGCGAGTCGATTTGTATGGGCATAAAAAGTCGCATAGGCACATATGATTTGCAGATACTAGGAATCAAACTAAGATACTTTTCTGAAGAAACACTAACATAAGGGTTAAAATTCGAAAAATATCATTTTGGCCCATTTAGAGTGCCCCCAATCGCGTCCGAATGTATGACCGATTCCATGGAAGGCCGATTTGCCCATGCACGTGGTTTACACCCTGCCCCCCCCCCCGCCTGAAAGATTATTCAACATTTAACCCTTATCTTAGGGGATGTGAGGTATGGTTTCTTCAGCAATGTATCTTATTTTGATCCCTATAATACGAAAATCATATGTCGTAGGGCGGGTCGATTTGTGTTGGTAAAAAAAAATTCCATAGCACATTTGATTTTCGGATCTAGGGATCAAATTAAGATACTTTGCTGAAGAAACTATACCTCTAAAATTAATTCTGATGTCCCATGCATTGATCCAAAATTGGGGTGAAAATTTTTAAAAATTCCGTTTTGACCCATTTAGAGTGCCCCCAATCGCGTTCAAATTTATGACCAACCCTATGGAAGGACGATTTACCAATGCCCGTGGTTCACACCTTAGAACTCCCTTCGAGTGGTTTTTCAAAATTTAACCCTTATCTTTGGGTCAATGCACGGGACATCAGAATGTATTTTACAGGTACGGTTTCTTCAGCAAAGTATCTTATTTTGATCCCCATAATCTGAAAATCGTATGTTCCTAAAGGACCTTATAATCGATCCGCCCTAATGTATATAATTCTAAGTTTTTTGGATAGCTATTATAGCTAAATAATCTGTTTTCATATTTTAAAAAGGGGTTTTTAACTTCGCAACTTGACCTTGTTTTTATAGCCCTTAATTTAGACTTTTTTTTTTTAAACGATGGTATAATCTCAAACTGCTTTTCAAATTATTGTAACTTTATATAAGAATGAAAATATAATTGCATCATGTTCATATTTATCTTCTTATAATTTAAAATATAATAATCTTGAAATAAATTTAAAAAAGTGCAAGAAAACAATAAAACTATTACAAAAATAACACAGAAAAGAACCAAAAAGTAATGACAAATATGTTAAATAATCATTATGAGAAAAGGACATGTTAAATTTAATATTATTAATATGTAGATTATAATATTAGGATATAGATAATATTTTTTATCAAAGGTTGATAAATATAAGTTTTATTTTAATCTTCTTTCATTAAATTCGTGTTTCATTAAGTTGTTAGTACAATCATTGGTTGGTAGTTTGATATTAATTTTTATACAGGTTCATACTTTAATATTGTGTTTTACTTTTCTTTTTTAAACTTACTTTTTATTTTATGCTTAATAACTGTGCTAGTTATTGAAAGCAATAAACAAATATTCAAAATAAAGGGGCCAATTTTGCAGTAACATGGCAGATAACATAGTGTTGTTGTTTTGTTATGGCAATGCTACCTTATACTTGTTTATCTGTGGCTACCTTATCCTTTTTTCTTGGAACATTTCGGAAATAAGTACGTCCATCATCAGGTTCTTCTGTCAAGAACAATATTCAATTATCTATATTTAAATAAAAGTTATTTTACATATAAAACTGTATGTTTTAAATGCGCATCACAAAGGTGCAGTTATCATAACATTCTTTTGTGGTTTGTTTTTATGTGCATTTTCACAGTTTTTAGTACCAAGAAAGAAAAATAAGATAGCTTTGCCATAACAAGGCTATGTTATCTGCCATGTTGCCTCAGAATTGGCACCGGAACCTTAGTATCGGAATAAATAATTTACGCCATTCATCGTCACAGTTGCAAATAAAACTACTAGTGCATGGCATCGTGCCTTAAGGTAAATTGCTGGAACTTTCCGTACCGTAATGAAAATTATCGAGAAATATTAAATGTATTCAAATAGATTATTATAAATACTGTATCTTCTATATGTTTACAGAAAACTAAATAAACACAACTTAGTCAATCGAAATTAAAATGAAGGACATTGTCTAATATTTATAAGAATTATATAAACTGAATTGCAAAGTTAAAATTATTTATTTGAAGATTATTAGTGAGCTTTAGAACTACAGTTAGAAAAAAAATTAAAATTCGATTTATTTTTGATATTCAAAAAAATTTGTTTTTCTAAAAGCAATCGTTTCGTCAACACAAGTACAAAGTTTTCAATCACTCAAATCGGATGCGTAGTTCTCTCAAAAAACTGCCATTTTTTGCACATTTAGCTCGGTACCTCCAAAACGGCCTAGGCTTACCTTCGCCAAAAACTAATCACACACTTGTGCTCATCATTACGAATTGAATGTTTTTTGGATCATTCAAATCGGATGCTCCGTTCTCTCAAAACTTGGGTAGGTAGGCTAGACCTGCCTTCGACAAAAACTAATCAGCACGTTTTCTTATCAATACGAATCGAATGTTTTTCTTAATTATTTAAATCGGTTGGTTAAACTCATTAAACCGTGTAACTGAAATTGTCGATGCACACACACATACATCCGTTTTGTAAGCTAAAATGTTCAGAAACCCCTGAAACGTAAAGATATATAAACATTTTCATTTTCGATTTTTTGCGATTTTCAAAATATAAAAAAGGCAAATTGGTTCAAAAATATCAGAATTCTCAAAAATAATTTTTCAGTTTTAAAAAAAAATAATAGTGATAAAGCTTTTTTAGAAATTAAATTTTAGTTCTTAGTATGGGTAGTTCCAGCAATTTGCCTCAGGCACAATGTCAAGTACTAGTAGTACTTTGTTTTTTATGTCCCAGTTGCAAATAAAATGAGCTTATTCTTGCACATTTCAATTTGCAGTATTGAACATGTCGGCAATTTTGAAATAATTAGTATAGTTAAGATTAAGAAGAGGTGACTAGTTTTTGGCAGAGGCAGGTCTCAACCATTTTGAAGATACACCTACTAAATGTGCAAAAATGGCAGTTTTTGAGAGAACTAAGATTCCGATTGGAATGATTCAAAGAACTTTCTGCTTGTTTTAACAAAATAATTACTTTTGGGGATGAAATTTTGGTTTAAATTTTTTTTTCAAAAACTAATTTTTTGAATATCAAAAATAATTCAGATTTTAATTTTAATTATGACTTAAGTTCTAAAATACTTCAAACAAACAATTTAAACTTTGCAATTCAGTTTATATCATTCTTATAAATAAATTGTAAACAATGTTACAGTACTTAGAATAATGTATTCAAAAACATTTAATATTCTTCGAACATTTTGTTACGGTACGGGAAGTTCCAGCAATTTGCTTTAAGGCACGATGCCACACACCACTAATTTTATATATAAATTGTAATATAATTATAAAATATTGCTGCATATTGATTTTTATGGTGAATTTCATAATATTAACAACTAATCTCAAATTTTAATATTTTGATTATCAAATCTGTTAACAATGGCGCAAAGACATCCAGCATTATTATATTTTCAAGGGACATCCAGAACGAAATTAATTGTAGGTAGATTTGGCAACATTGGTTTTTGTATGATAATGTTGGTTGCTTGCGAACAAATATGTCAAGATGGTGTCAAGCCTAAACAATAATACAATGGTATCAAGCTTGATGTAAGTTAAACTTATTTTATAAATATTAACTTTTTCTCAGTTATTATCAAAGTTTCGTTAATATTTGTGCTCACGCACCGATTAATTTTAAATTTAGATATTATATATACATAAATTGTGTCTCGTGTTTTTTTCAAACTTTACCTGCGCTGTCAAACCATTTAGGTTATAGGCTTGTAAGTTACTCATGGCATATTTATTGTATATTTAATAAATCTAATGGACGTCGCTTTTTTTAACTTCCCGTAGGGTATTTATAGTAATGGGCCGAAAATCGAAATGAAATTTTTTGCATTTATCGAAGTTTTGAAGTTTCTCTGAACATTTTGACATACACCTCAGAAAAGGATGTGTGTGTGTGTTTTTGTATGTCCACGATTTTTCGACCACGTTTTCGTGCGCACGGATCAACCGATTTGAATGGTTCAAAAAACATTCGATTCCTATTGATAGGGAGATGTGCTGATTAGTTTTTGGCAAAGGCAGGTTCAGCCGTTACGGAGATACGGAGCAGAGGGCGCAGAAAATACAAATCGAGTTTTTGAGAGAACGGAGTTTCCGATTTGAATGATCTAAAAAACATTCAATTTGTAATGATTGGGAGAAGTAGTTATTAGTTTTTGGCAAAGGCAGGCCTAGCCATTTCGAAGATACAGAGCTAAATATACAAAAAATGACAGTTTTTGAGAGAAATAAGCATCCGCAATGAATAATTCAAAAATATTTCTGCTTGTGTTGACAAAACAATTGGTTTTGGAAGAAATTTTTTTTTTATATTGAAAATGATTCAGATTTTAATTTTAATTCTGGCTAAAGTTCTAAAGCTTACTTATATACTTTAAATAAATAATTTTAACTTTGTAATTTAGTTTATATAATTCTTATAATATTAAACAATGTTATAGTATTCATAATAATCTAATTGAAAACATTTAATATTCCTCGAATATTTCGTTACGGTACGGGAAGTTCCTGCAATTTGCCTTAAGGCACAGTGCCATACACAATTTATACATAGTTTCACATTTATATGTTTCATTACGTATACTTGCTAACATGATTCTATAAGCAAATTCATGACTATCATGACTATTATAATAATAGTTAATATTATTATATTATACACTATAATATTTCCTTTATTATTTATTACACATTAATTCAATAAACATGCCGGATAATGATGTTATTTTTATTTCAGTGCTGTTACCAAAATAGATTAGAAGATTGCATTTTGCCAGCCAGGTGTATTTGTGCCATTATCTGAATATCTTCATCAGGTAAGTTTTAATTTTTATGTTTTTGATTTACTATTTCAATGATGATACTATGACAAGCATATAACTAAATGTCTCAATGTTGATACATGATTTTACTGATTTTTAATTCAATCATAATCATTAATTCAATAACCATTTTCTGGGTAATAATCTTGTTATTTTTATTACAGTGCTGTTATCAAACAATATTAGAAGATTGCATTTTGTCAGTAGGTGTATTTGTGCATTATCTGAAAATCTTTATCAGGTAAGTTTTGATTTTTATATTTTTTATTTACTATTGCAATGATAATACAGGTAACCTCTGTATAACACGGTAGTTATGTTCCAAAAAACTAGTAGTTTATGCGAACTAGTACAAAAGAGGGGTTACGTTCCAAGAATTCAAAAAAACATGCCACTATGCTATGAATACCATTTTACTAGAAGCAAATAATTGCAAAAATTTTTTTTTGCAAAAAATAATGCATGGAACTGCTCAGAAGATATAGATATAATGCAAAAAATGAAATGCGTTGGATAACTTACTTGTTAGTTATGATGAAAAAAATCATAATTCATGTAATGAATATTACTTCTTGTGAAAATTAATAACCATAACTGTATTTTATAATTGATATTGATATATGATTTATAATAAATATTGTTATAGTTATTAATTTTTATATGAACTAATATACTAGTAAGTGCTATCCAACGCAATCCTTTCTTTTGCATATCTTCATTCCTTCAGATCTGTGCATTATTTTTTGCAAACTAGTGGTGTATGGCATTGTGCCTGAAGGCAAATTGCTGGAACTTTTCAGACTAAAAATTAAGTTCTTTAAAAAAGATAAATTGTTTTGAAACTTTGAAAAAATTAGATTTTTGAAAAAAAAAATGTTATATTTTGAAATATTTTGAATATCGAAAATATCGAAACGCGTAAGCGCCGCGTTACAATCTCATTTTTAATACTTTTTATGTTTGTATTGTTGATACTGTAAAAACTATTTAAATTGTTAACTCAATGCTATATTTTGCGAACGAAAATTTGATGCATTTGAAATAAAATATGTTCATTCTAACAATAAGTCCGCTTAATTAAATTTTGTTTATATATTTGATTCAAACAATATATATTCTAATCCAATAAGTTTTCACAAGGAACAAATAATGAAAATTTTAGTTTTATAATACTCATTCATAGACATTTTTGTTGACTGATTTTTTTATTCTTCGAATGTTTTAATTACGTTACGGGAAGTACCAGCAATTTGCTTTAAGGCACGATGCGTTTAAAATACTATCTAATGAGCATTGTTTATTAACTTCCTGTAGGATAAGTAATAGTAATCGCAAAAAAATTAAAAATTAAAATTTTATATATCTTTACGTTTGAGAGGTTTTGAACATTTTGCATGCCTTAGAAAAAATGTATGTATGTGTGTGTGTGTGCGGATACAAATTTCGTCGACGATTTCGGGAACACCGATCAACCGATTTGAATAATTCAAAAAGCATTCAAATTGTATTGATAAGACGTGCTGATTAGTTTTTGGCGAAGGCAGGTCTAGCCGTTCCGAGGATACGGGTCAAAAGTGCCAAAAACGCTAACTCAGTTTTTAAGAGAACGGAGCGTCCGATTTTAATTCAAAAAACATTGTACTTGTATTGACAAGATGAAGACTGATTAAATTTTTGGGAAGACAGGTCTAGCGGTAATGGACTCTAAAAAAAAAATGTCATTTGACGGTCAAAAATGTTTATTGGACATATGCACA